TTCACAGAAGTGCACAGAGAGAAACGAAAGAGAAAACTATTTCTATTTCTGCTCCTTGTTTTTCCTATGTGGAATGTGTTTGGAGAATTGTTTACCTGGGTGATTGCTTGGTTGGATTCTGGTGAGGATTGTTTGAGCCTGATGGCCAATCCAACCCACCTGGGGCTGGACTCGAGAGAGAATCATGAGTTGTCCTCCTTTTATATAGTATATTGATGTATTTTAGCATAGTTATAATAAAGAAATAATTCAGCCTTCTGAATTGAGTCAGACATCATCATTTCTTCCCATTGGGTTCACCTGCATCTACAATACAGATTCAAAGCCAGAGCTGGGATAACAGCCAGTGACAAGGAAATAAATGTGGGGATATGAGGCTATTGCCACTCGACACTGCCATGGAACGTAGCATCTACTTACAAACACTAACACTGTCTCAGGATCAAGAGGAAGTCAATTTAGATAAATGCTTAATACTTTTACAGAAGTGAAATCCTTTAAATGAAATAACATGTTATTTATGGTTGTGTGTATGCACTTGCTGCTGATGCTCTCAAAAAAGATCAGCCACTGAAAGGATGGAGATGTCCCACCAAGCACATGGGACCAGAGTTCACTGCTCTTGAGATGCTTTACCACAGTGGTTTCATGGGTGGGAGAAGAAGATTTTATCTTCATTTAATTCAGTAAGATCAATTTTATGACTACTTCACCAGAAAAGCAACTGAAAGCTGAAAGACAGAAGACAAATATGCCCTTTCAAGCTGTGGAAAAAAGTGGGTATGAAAAATGGCTGCAATCTTAAAGGACATGACGACCATACTGTCTTTGTTATGTTATTGACTTCTTGGAAATGCAAAGCATGTTTAGATAAACATTATTTTCCATATGTCCTATCAGTACATTCACTTAGCCATTAAAAACATTTCTAAAAATCTATTTTTAGGACTTTTTAATTGGAATTTGGTTCCCAGACTGACCCACCATGTGTTTAAAGATTACTCATGTGGTAAATAGGAAAGCTGCCATGTACCTTATACTAACAGAAAAGTTTAAAAAATAAGGCTGAAATATATTGTGAAACACAGTATTGGCTAAATAAAAATGTACTGATAGCTGACTTAAACTTTCAGTGGAAAAATGAAATACAGGATTTAGTGAAAAAGCCTATAAAGAAAATAATTGTATTTTGTTTCAAACTCAAATGAGAATCAGCCTTAAGAACATCTACTGAGGAAAGGAAATGCAAACAGCTATTAAAATCGATTATTTGAGTAAGTGTTTCTTGCTTATGTAGCTGGTGTTGCTTCACATCAATCCCCACTACCTTGGGAAAACTTAAAATTTAGAAACAAGAACCAATGAAGACCCAGCAAAGGAAAGATTGTCATAATAACTCATTTTATGACTGATGAGCAAAATTCATTTCAAATTCCTTCCTCTGGCTGCCTTTGGAAATGGAACATTATGTCTCCGCTCTCTGTTCTCTGCCTGACAGCCACAGGCTGCCAGGCTGCAAGGGGACTTGGAGGACTCTGGACACTCTTTGGCATGCACAGGCAGCTCTCCTGACTGCCCATGGATGCAGGAATCCAGCACGGACCTGGGGACCCTCCCTGCCCTGGGGACCCTCCCTGCCCTTCCCAGTGCCCTGTCTGCCCCTGTCCCCATGGCACTCTGCAGCAGAGCTGGCCCAGGGGCTGAGCAGCAGGGTCACAGCCACTACTGTTTGTCACACTGCCTCTCCCTCAGGGTTTTCTGCTTGTGTTTATCAAGGGCTACCTCTCAGCCCTTGCCATTCCTTCTGCCTCAGGTTTGTTCCTCTAGTCCTGCAGTATCCCAGCTCCCTTCCACCACATCTCTCCCAGGAGCATGCACAGCAACTGCTCACAGCAGGGAGGGAGGGTCTCAGGCAGCAGGGAGAGAAGATCTCAGGACAGCAGGGAGGGAGGGTCTCAGGCAGCAGGGAGGAAGCATTTCTGGGCAGTAGTGAGGGAGGGGCTCAGGACAGCAGTGAGGGAAGGTCTCAGGACAGCAGGGAGGGAGGGGCTCAGGGCAGCAGCTGGCAAGCAGCGACTCCACCAGCACAAGGCCCTCTCCTGTTCGTATGATGATACTCAGAGCTGGAGCGAATGCTGGTTTTGGGCAGCTGCCAATCTCACAGCCAAGGAACAGGATCCTAAACATAACTGGGATATGTGTTCTCTCTCACCCTGACAGCATCCCTGGGGGAGCTCCTTCCTCGAGTGCCCTGCAGTAGGGATTTTGTGGCTGCTGCCATTTTGGTGGCTGCTACTTCATGCCAGTGATGAAAAACCCACTTGGCACTGTGCAACCTAGATGAAAACCTGCAATTTGTGCTGCAAGCACAGCTACAGGAACACAGAACCTGCACATGAACACAGAGGTGCTGCCCTGAACCCCCCAGGCATGGCCCGTGGTACCTCTGTGTCAGGGCAGGGTGCCAGCTTGCACTTCCATCCTCACCTGCCACACCAAGGGGCACAGCCAGCCCAGCCAGGTCCCAGCCCAGATGGCAGCACTGCCACTGCTGTCTGTGTCATGCCAGGTCGGTGCCAGCAACACCAATCTGAAGTTTTAGGACTTGTGTCAGAGCCTGCAGTCCGTCAGGGTGACTTTGCCTTGAAAGCTTGGATGGCAGTAAAGATGAAAAATGGTTCTGCCATTTTCTCCTCTTCTGCCCTCAAACTATATATGGCCAGCAGGTCTCAGAGGGGCTGCTCCCACACGTGGCTCCTGTTCCTATCCCTGCCAGCCAAGGGCTGCCTGAAGCTGGGGCTTCCTCTGGGATCAGGGCAGCAGAAGGCTGGGGAAGAAACACCCTTTGGGCACAGTGGAGAGGCAGCAGGGATTAAAGCAATCTCCTGAAATCCATGCCTGTAGCTCACTCAGGGAGGCTCTTCCCCACCTAAAGGCTGCCAGGAGCTCTGGCAAACAGCATCAGCCCTTCTCTGGAGTGCCCAGTGACGCTGCCTCTGCACAAGGACCTGAAGAGTGACAGGATACAGGCGATACACTGAACTGGAAGTGTCCCAGATGCTGAGACCAGGAGGGGTTTACTAGAAATCCGTAGTTTTTGTGGAATTTGCAAATAAATAAAATATATTTCCCTTTAGTTCAAAGCTAGCTAATTTATTTCTAGGTGTTTGTTTCAACAGGCTTCCTCAGTCTTACTGACCAAAACACTCACCAGTGCTCTGTATGAAATTCCAACTCAAAAAGATAGTTTTGAAGATTGCTGCTACCAGCTGACAGGAAAGTTGAATTCCAGTTTCTGACCTTATTCTGATGTCATAAGTACAGAGCAATATGAAAAATGACTAGGATCAAGGCACCAGTTGTGGGTTGGGTCAAGCACTTCACATCCATTTGACACAAATGTAAATCCACAACTAAAAAGGCCGTAAAGAAGACAGGGAAAATGGGGCAGTTTTGGTCCTCATAACAAAATTAGCTCTCAAGAAGGCTGTGCTGAGGTTTTCTGACTCAGTTCATGCAACAGCAACACACTGGGCTAACTGCAATGCCAGGGAGGGCTCCAGTGAGAGAGGAATGGTTGGGGCCTTCCTAGAAAACCCCCCATCCTGAAGGAATGGAGTGAGGGAAGCTGAGGGAAAAGAAGGATCTGTGACTTGTCATGTTCCCCACATTCTGTTTGATAAGTGATGCCCAAGAGAAGGAAAATTCAGAAAGGGAGGACCAGAATCAAAATCCAGTGGGTCAGAAGCCTACATGAAGGTAGGGGGAAAATCTGCATGTTGGTATCTCAGGTCCTTCCCGTTGGCTGATAATACCATGCCTGTAGTTGCCCTGCCAGCCTGTTTTACCCACCAATCTCAGCTACAGGGAGGATCATGCCCATAGCGCTGGAAACCTCTGCCATTTAGAGGATTTATGAAAAGTATTTTGCTTTTGTCCCCTTGAAATTACATCATTCTCCTCTTTTATCTGTCTTAAGTGTCAGGAGAGTGTGATGTTAATGAGATGTACAAAGGCTTTTGGGTAGCTGAACAGTTTTATAGTCCCACATTGATAAATTAAAGCATTTGTCACTGTTACCACGTTAATGTTTCTTCCTGAGATCAAAGTCTGGGTTTGCTGCATGAAGTGGGACCGTCCCCTGCTCTGCATCACCACACGTCACCTTCCGAGGAGATGAATTGTGGTTCTGCATTTTTACATTCACAGCTTAATCACACCCCCATTCTCACACCTGCTCATTCCCATCTCCACATGAGGTATGCAAGCCTTTTTTTTTATTATGGATTTTCTCCTTGCTACCTGTGTGGAAAGCCTGACTATCTTGTTTAAGGACAATCGCTTTCTTCTGGCTCTGAAAGACTGCTTCTACAGTAAAGAATACAGACAGTTTCCTTCCTTCTGGAACCCTAGATTCAGTCATATTAATTTACATTTATATAGCACCTTTCATCCCTGAAGATCCCAACACACTTTACAAACTCCCCCTCTCTGTACACAGAAGCTGTACAAATAGACAGGCTACATAAACAGACACAGGATCCCACTGCCAGCCTCTGAAACACATCCCTCTGCCTGTATTCCCAGCACACTCGTGGCCAGCCAGCTCTGCAGCACATCCCCATCAAGGAGGAAAACACGGCAGTGGGATTTAGAGGCATGTCAGGAAGCACGAGGGATCTGGGCGAGCAGCAGAATGGCTTTGCAGCCTGGCTGAGTGACATCTCCCTGGCACTCTGCTGCACGGGTTAAAATGAGGCAAAAGCTGATTTGTGGTGAGCTACATCTCACAGCCTCAGTGCTGCTGGCAGTGCCTGTAGAAATCCAGATTTGCTGCTCCCTCCCACTGATGGGTAATCCTCGAGTAGTTTATTCTTTAAAACTGGAAAGCCTCTGCTTGCTTTGCAATGCAAACAAGGGGAAACAACCCCCCCTCCCACCAGCAGTGGCTGAGTGGCTGCAGCCAAGGTGAGGAGGAGGAGAAGGGAGCACTGTCGTACCTGGGACACCTTCCTGACCACGTCGCTGCCCACCAGGAAGCCCTGTGCGTAGGAGCGCGCCGCGATGAAGGCTCGCGTGGCCTTCAGCTTCAGGTCCCTGGGCACCTCCCCGAAGGGCTTGTGCTGCTCGGCGTGTTTGACCATGCAGTCCAGGTACTCGTCCGTGATGTGGTACTGGGGGTTCAGCAGCTTGAAGAGCCTCTCCAGCAGCCGTGTCCAGAACTCATTGAGGGCCTCCTCCAGGTTGATGTTGGAGCTGCGGTAGTAGCGGCGCAGCTCGCTGTACAAGTCCTTGAACACCTTCACGTTCTGAGTGTACAATTCTCCATACATGCTTGGAAAGGCATCGTAAAGGGCCTTCTCTGACTTGTTCAACAAATCCTGGAAATAACCTGAAAGATGAGGAAAGGAGAGGTGATGTGTCAGCCAGACAAGCTGGAACCCAACAGGCTGTGTTATTGGGCAGCACAGCTGAGTACCCCGAGAAAAGAGAAGGGTCCTGACAGAGCTTTTCCTCCAACCAGCATCACCCACACTCCCAGGTCTGAGCCTTAGTCATGAAGATAGAAGGAGGAAACTCCTCTGCCCCTTCATGCTGGAGAACCCAGGTCTGGGCCTCTCCAGCTCTTCTGGCAGCCTCACCTGGGAGCAAAGCCAGGGCTCTTTTCTGAATCCACAGAGTGTCACAGTGTCATCATAAGTTTTCTTCACAGCTGGCATTGCTTACGCAAACCCTAAGCTGCCAGATGTTACTTCCAAAGCCCTGCTGAGATAAAGCAGAGCTGCCAGCACGGTGCCAACCCTGTGCAGGGCCATCCCTGGTGGTGGCAGCCAGGCAGGCTCTGGGCACAGCCAGAGTCCAGGTGCAGTGTCAGGAACAGGCACATCTTCCTGGAGACCCAAGGGCTTTTTAACCAAGGCCAACGTTAAATGGGGCTCTCATCCCATTTCCTTACTTGGGTGTGCATCCTGCTTTTGTTGCAGCATAAATAACAGACTGCTTTTACACCTGTGGTTCAGTGGTCTCAGATGTGACACAAATGTGACTCTCCTGCTACACACAGCAGGGTAAGAATGACAGATTTGACCCCTCCCTTACCAGCGCCTTTAGGTATTTTCATCATCTCAGCTGCCAGCTACCATCAGGCTGAGACTGCACAGTATGGAACTCATAGCAGGATTGGCCTGATCCAATTAATAGATTTACATAAGCAACTTTAGTCATCATTGAAGTCAGTAACAGGAAAAATAATTTAAATAATAATTTTAATTTGAAGTACACTTGTACTTTTAGAGTCTTTTTGAATCAAACCTGATTAAACTATTATTTAAATCTAAAGTACTTTTTTTTTTTTTTGGTGATACATGATAAGCTCTAGTTGCAAAGAAACTCTTATTCAATTAAAATCAAACAGCATGTATTTAGGTACATAAATTAACTTCACAGTGCTAGACATATAAGAAAAGAAAGAAGCTCCTGAAAAATGCATAGTGCATGTAAAACGCTTTATTAAACAAAGTCTTTTTTGAGGGAATGGCACTGACTACAATTAAAGACCTCCAGAATTGTAAAACTAGTAAGGCTCAGATCCATAAACCTTGCTTATATTCACTACTGAGAAGGGCCATACAAGCTTTCCTATATTAATAATCTCTCACTGGTTTCTCATATTTGAATGAAGCTAAAACTTAACAGGTGAATGAAACAAGTGAAAAGAACCCTCTGCATCTACACCACAGGTTGCTAATACTGAAAATTCCTGTACTATTTTAACAAAGCAACACTGAGCATTAATAGCCTGGCCTTCTCCAGCTGCTATCATGTGCTGTTTAACAGATTAAAATTTGATTGAAGAGAATTTTGTTTTTAAAAAATTGTGAGCAAATTAGGTCTTAATAGAAGTCTGGTTTAATCACTTATGCAGAAGTAGAAAGTAAAAATCTGTTATCTGGAATGTTGACTAAAAACTGGTTTTCAAATGTACTTTGGGAAGAAATTTATTCTTAATCAACATGACTGGGTTGGAAGTTTGTATCTCCAACCATTTTTACTGGGATCCCTCCATCTCTCAAATGACTAATCATGCACCTTCCCCACTAAAACTGGATTTTTTCCTACAGACATCAGGTGTCAGGGCATCACAGTCACCTATGATGTTAAAATGGGGGGTTCTCAATAGGGGAAAAAAGACAAAACCTGATCCCATCATATTAATAAAAAGAGATGCTGCACTCACCTGCAACAGAAACAAAATACAAAATTTCTCTGATGCTGATGAGGTGTCTAAAAGGTCCTTCCTACCTTAATGTATCACTCCCAACACTGTTGGTTGCCCATTCACAAGGTAATTAAACTGAGCTCAAACTCTCTTCCTTGTACAATCAGTGTTCCTTTTAGTGTGACAAGAGACACGAACTGAACAATTTGCTCAACAATTGAGGTATGATGTGCAGCTTAGCACTCACCATCAGGAGGAAGAAATCACCAACAAACACAGCCCAATTTGTCAATTCAAGGCAAAATTACTCTCTTTGTTTTGCTACAAGAGGAACAAGATATATATCTCCCTGTCAAAAAATTGGAGACTGCTCTCAAAAAAGTCAGAGCTAATTAAGGGCTGATGAACTGTTACTTCTCACCCAAGTGAGGGAACACTGATTACAGCCAATTCATCTGTGGCTGGTTCTCACAAAGTTCTTCTAGATTTCACACACTGAGGGAAAAAAATCTACACTAGCCAGGGAAAATTAATTAGCAATTAAGTCTACACGTGTTTGTGATGAGTGGCTGACCTGACAGGGAATTTTTTGCAGCATCAGAAGGTAGCACGAAGTGAGGTTTGTCAAGAGGGATGCCAACATCCTGTTCTTCAGTAGAGCTTTCCCAGTAACACTGCATCTTCTCCTGAGCACCCCCTGCCTGCTAAGGTCCAGCCTTTTAATGAGTTTAGGCATGTGGCACAGATTAAGGATATGCAGGGCCTTGGGATAAGACAACTTGCTGAGGCACAGTTCAGGCTCCTGCCTTTCTACCTCGATTTCAGGTAGAAGGAATTAATTATTTGAGGGGGAGCAGCCATGGTGAGTGGGGGACCCTCAGGTGCTCCAATCTCCAAAAAGGGAGCTGTCCCACTGCTGCTACCAGGGGCTACCAGTAACAGGGCCAGCAGGTCCCTTTGCATGTATCAGCTCCCACTTGGTCACCACTGAGGTGTTCAGCTCAGGCAGGGCATGAGTGCATGGAGCAGCTTCAGCCAGGTCACAGCTGGACACAGCCCTGAGCCCTGAGCTCTGCTGCCACCACGTCCTCGGTGCCAGCAGCAGCCCCAAGCCATGAGCTGCGCTCAGGCACTGCAGCACAGGGCTCTGTCACCTTGGCAATGGCAGGATGCAGGGACAGGGCTCAGCTGCACTCAGGCACTGCAGCACAGGGCTCTGTCACCTTGGCAATGGCAGGATGCAGGGAAAGGGCTCACAAGGAGCCCATGCTGTAGCTATAAAGCTCTTCTGGCTCCAGGAGGCACCACTGCCCTCCCATCCCTGGAGCAGCAGCACAGCTGAGGTGGCTCTGCAGAGGGTCCTTCCCCATGAAAGGATGCATTTGCTTCCACTCTGATTCACGAGAAAGCAGCTATAGATTCTGGGGACCTGTGCTGAAAAACTCATGGCTGTTCTTGGCTTCTTGGAGCCCCAGGAATTTGACAGTACCAGCCAGAGACACCTCCCTGTGAGTAACCTGCTAAATTCATTACTGGCCTTCCTCTCTTTCAAAAAGTTTCTTTCAGGAGCCACTGACAGGTGAGTCCTTCCTCACCACTGCCAGCTGAAGGACACGACACTGCCAAGCCCAGCAGGTGGCTTCCAACACCAGTACTTCAGACAAATCCAACTCAATTTTCCCTGGGCCAATGCAAGGCACGGCTCCTCAACCAAGGCCGCTCCTACATGAAACATCACCTTTTTCACACCCTTTTGCTGCAAAGTATTCAAAAGAAAAATAAAATGAAATGGAAGCCTGTTTTATTACTATTATTACTGCTTCTCACTTCCAGGATCAGAAACAAGACAACTGGCTTTGCACAAAGGAAATGTGTCTTTTGGCAGAGGCCACGTCTGAAGAACTCTGCCTCAAATGCTAAGATACCAGAAAGTTATGAGTAAAGAAATGAAAGGTTTCTACAACCAACACAATTCTGCCACCTCGGCTTTCTCTTGCTGTTGTAGTGACAAAAACTTACTTCTCAGAGAATTAAGTTTTCAACCAGAATCTATAACCTTTGCATTCAAGAGAGATTGCAAATCCCCACCCATTTCCCTGCTTCGCAGCTTCCCAGTGTTCGCAGCTCATATTTTCACAGTTTCCACATTTTCACAACTCTGGATTCAAATTGGGAAGCTGTGAACAGCACGGCAGGGACCGGCAGTTTCTCTCTGCAGATAGAAAGTTTTGAGTTTCTCCTTCCTCAGCCCCCCCAGCACTGAATACTTTATCCAAGCTCTCTGCTACCATTTGATCACTCAACATCTGGAGCACACTGGGGTTTCTTTGACTAATCCAATGATGGAATGGGAATGGATGCAGGAGGGAAAGAGATCACTAAAGGAAGAACACCCAAATGCTCTTTAGGCAGGCAGCAGAGCTGGCTTCCTTTAAGCCCCATCAAATTTGAGAGGCATGCTAGAGGAAATACGAGAAATGGAGAAAGGTGACTGAATTACTTTCAATCTGAATATTATTAAAATTTTAAGCAGAAAGCTGTAGCACAAAATGTCTTACACACAACAGGGAAGAGCTGAGACTGGAGGAACACCAATGGTGTTCTTGTGAAAATGCTGTGGAAGTTTTGTAGCAATGGGTGAAATTAAACCCTCCTGCTGCTCAGACAGCTTTGCCTGGTGAGCTCTATTTGTGGTCTGAGGGCCTTGCCATGTACTGCCAGGGCAGATGGAGGTGGGGCAACAACATGAGGAGGAGGAAGTATCAGATCCTCAGTTTTGAGGACCAATTTCTCAGTTCTTAGTGAGCACACAAGCCTGTGGTGGAATTCATGCAGGGCCAGAGCCACGGAGCTCTGGAGGAAGGCTGGGCAAATACTCCATGAACAAACTGCTGTGTGCAGGACTGGACTGAGAACAGGAGAGGAAATGTAGCTGCTTCTGTGATGTCCTGAACCCCAGCCAAAGCAGGGAAAGAAAGAGGATGGAGATGTCTGCTACAGCAGAGCTCCTGCTTGGTGCCAGCCCTGTTGGTCTGAGGAAGAGTCTTTCCCTGAAGAGAGCTCCCATTTAATACCCTGCTGCACTTCCCAACAGCAGTTTGCTTCTCCAGTTGGTTCTAATGCTGTTCTTGCAATTAACCTACTATTAGGAGGGAATAATTCAGCAACAGGTT